ACAAACAGACAAATCTGTTGTGAGATTATCGCCGTTACATCCAAAATTCACGCAAATAGAATTGAATATTATACACATACAAAATATAAGAATTATAGATACACACACAAATATAAATTACAATGTATATAAGAATTAGACTTTTTACACTTTGATTTTCCTTACATATGCAAGACTGAATATATATCGTACTCTCTCTCTCTCTACCCGTCGGAACGGTCGTCGTAATCTTCGTGATAGGCTGGACAAGTAAGGAAACTTACACGTTAAGCTTACATAGAAACTGCATATAAGCTGCTTATAAGATCCATCGTATACTCATGGTGTTCCAATATCGCACAGCTATAAGTCTCTTAGCATAGTCCGTAACTTCCTTAGCTTGAGGAAACTTCTGTATATGAGTCTTACGTACATATTATTGTCTGTTCTTCCTTGTCTATTCTTGCACAATGTTCACAACGTTCTGAATTTAAACAACATTTATATAAAATTTGAGGAGAACGTAAAATAGAGACGTACAATTAATTAATTAATAAGCGAATAATAATAGAAATGATCCCGACCTTCAAAACTGGATCTGAAAAATTTATTATCTGCAAAAAGACGGTAGAGTTTCAAAAGTAAATTAATAAGTCAACACAGAACGGAATTTTACTATAATATTTTATATTTAAGGATGTAATCCATCACGGTGCACGTCAAAACTGAGACCAGTCAGACGCAGGTAAACACCTGCTCCTAGCTAATCTCTTCTTGGACTACCGTCTTTGTTCAGCAGAATGAAAGCATCTTCGTAGGTAGAATGATTCCAAGAAATGCGTCTTGTGCTGCCTCACAGCTTGCTTCGCCGAATCATTTTTCTCAAGGTTTCTGATCGAATATCCTTTGTAACAAATGTTCTTTCTATTCCCGATTTCTATTTCCCATTTATCATTTTACGCATACGCGTTTGATAAATGATTCAAACGATATTCGCTAACACTTGGTAATCTATTCTACTTAAAAAAAAAAAAAAAATACAAAATCATAATAAGTACTAGAATTATCATCAATTTGTTAGCTCTTAACAACATAATGTTTCTATAAAATATATGTGCAATAAATTGTTATTGAAGTCGCGCTGGACACACACAACCGGCATCGTAACACTATCCAGATCTTAATCTGGCACAAATTATTTCATTGAACGAGAATGGACAAAAATTAATTGGACAAAAGTGAAAGAAAGGAACAAAGTACAGGATCTGTCGCCACAAATTGCAAGTCAAACAGTTAATTGCCAAATGGTCCATACGAATGGTGCATACAGTCAGGAGACTATCGGACGGCGCCAGACAATTAGCTTAGTAAATTCCACGAAGAAGTTCTCTTCGCCAGGACACACGACGACGGAAGGAGCCGCGGCAAAACGAGAGAGAGAGAGAGAGAGAGTCGGCCGGCGCACGGTCGAGTTAACTTTAATTGCTCGGTTGGCTACATAATAAATGATACTGCAGACGCCGCGGCGAGAGAAAATTATTTCGGCCTCGGCCTTTCCGCCTGTTCGAGCTCGCGCGCGTGCGAAAACCCGCACTATCAACCCGAGAACCTGCCAATTATTTCACGTCCAGGTACACGATCCGTCACTCGTTTCGCGTCAATTCTCGGCGCAAGTCTGGAAACTCCGTCCAGCACGATTTATCGCAGGTCTCGGAGGGAGCGGAGAACCTTTTTAATGAGAGTCACGAAATAACGTCCGAAATAAAGCTGTTCGTTGGCGCCGTTTCCGCAGAAGCAACGTTTGGAAAGCAGAAGTTTGAAAATAGTTTTACTCACGTCAATTTTTTTACTTCTTTTTACTTCTAGTCAAGTTTTTAAGTTTAAAAACTTTTTTTTATCCCGCTTTAGTTTTTTAAATCACTTTTTTTATATTGTATTACAAATACAACGACGCGTTAATTTTTGCAATCTTGCATGTTCACGCAGAAATTTCTTGTATTATGCAAGCAAATTATTGTCTTGTATTCTTGTATTTTTTTTAATGTAACCGATATGCGTGATGTGCATGCGTGAGTAAGTGCGTGCGTGCGTGCGTGCATGCGTGCGTGCGTACGTGCATGCGTGCGTGCGTACGTGCGTACGCAGAAATAAATCTGGTTCATCAGCGAGATCGTTACAGTGATTTTTTTCATGCGATTTCTCGTACCACGGATGCACGCGAAAGCGTTCCGGGAAAACGCGCTTTTAGTGCTCTCTGAATAATTACATTTCCATTGAACGCAATAATTCCTCATTAGCATTAGCGATGAATGTTATTACAGGCGCTTTATGTTGAACACAATTCGCATCATCTCATACGATGCAGTATTCATAATGCACATTTATTATGTAATATGTAACAATCAATGAAACGCGAATTACATAATACGTTCTAACCGTGCCCGGTAATTATATACGGTAGCTATTTTTCACTGAAAACGTAATGAATTATCACACGTGCGACCAAATGCACAAAATATACAACAGAGCGAAATTGTGCGGAGAGTTTGTACGTATCGTTGTTTAAAAATTAATATCAACTTATTATAATTTAATATTAACTTATTAATATATATATATATATATATATATATATATATATATATGTATATATATATATCAACTTGTTGCAAGTTGTATTTAACTGTTTTTTGTAATGATAATAATAATAATGCAAGACACTTTTTACTTTGAAATTGTTCGGGTTGAACTTTCACCGATTAATTGCGCGTTTTATCATCGATAATATTTTTTGTTTGCGATCTTTCTCTCTTTCTCCTTCTCTCTCTTTTTCTCTTTTTGAAATTATTAAGAACAAAGGCACGACTTCGCTTTTTCCGGACTTGGCATTTTCATCGGTCCGATCGTCCCACTTTTTCTCCGTCCGCGAATGCACAAGTAAGATCCCTTCCGCGTCTCTCTTTCACCACCGTGTCCGCCGCACCGCTTTTACGCGTCCGTCTTTTTCCTTATCCCGCTCTCCGACGGAACAAGGAACGCTTAAAGCACTTCCATAGGGAGACGACTAATTAGAGCGATTTAGCGTCCGTCGACGACGTTTATTTGGAATGCAAATGCCATCGTGGGACCGACCGACCGTCCTTGCCCGTCCGTTTTTCCGTCCTTCCTGCGTTCGCCCGTCTCGTATCGCCGACTGATAAATGCCCGGAGGATTTTATCGCGACGCCCAGTTTACCGCGCCTTGTCCGAGGATGAAAATTGAAAGGGCCGGGAGAGCGTGCCATTTGTACTTAGCGATTGTCCCGTTGCGATTGTTCCTGTGTTCTCTCGCAAGTGTCGAACGAAAAGAGAACGGGAAAGAGAAAATTATTCCGTGACAAAGGAGCTATTTGTTCTTGTTACATTTTGTCGCTCTCTAGAGATTCTTTGTCATTTTGTTTTTTCTTTTTTTTTTTTTTTTTTTCTTATACGCGCCATCGTTTTAGAATATACGATCATGCGAGAGATGTGCGTTTAAATATTTCTTCAAGCAACAATTTTTCGACCTTTTATATCCAGCGCGAAGCACTGCTTTATAAAGAATATTCTATTTTAAGAATATATATATTTTTTTAAATTGGATTAAGTATATATATATATTTTTATGCACACAAGAGTGCTTTTCTTTTCTCGCACAATTTTGTTGGAGACGTTTTGTGGGTTCGTTAACCTCGGTGGATTAGTATCGTTTGTCGTGTAATCCTTTCTCTGGGGACAAATTTTTCACCGTAAAAAACGGCGGTCGCCTCTTTAGGTTCCGTAATAGCGAGACCTTTTATAAATGCAACCTCTTAAGTTCCCGACGCACAAGCGGTCTTGTGACCCACCAACTAAAAATAATAGAGTTGAAAAGTCGTTTTTAATAAACGACAATATCTAACAAATTATTTTTTAAATCTGAATACGTGTGTCTACGGACTTGCAAATAAAACAAACTCTTCTTGAAAGAAGAGTTTTTTTGAGGTAATATAAAAACTAAATAGATAACAACAGAGAAAATTGATATCTCTTACAAATTGAAACAAAAAAAAAAAATCATTATTTCGACATTTTCTTGCGTGACAAATGCATCTTAAAATTGGAATATGTTTCTGTTCTGATTTCAGAAAATATGTGTCTTCCAAAAGTCTCTCGAGGATCTCTCCTCGCGAATGGCCGCGGCCGAGGCGATTCAGAGCGGCTGGCAGAATCCAAACGACGTCAACGAGGCGACCGAAATGCTCGAGCAGTTGCAAAAATTCGGCGAACGACTGGTACCCATCCAGAGGAACATCGAGGACGCGAACGATCAGGCGAGCGTCTTCGCGTCAAGCAGCGTCATCGTTTCTCACGCTTTACTGGCGAAACTCGAAGATCTAAACACGAGGTATGTTTTACGACCGCGAGAATTTAAATCGCGCTGGTTTAGCAAGTTCCCAGACAAAACAGCTCGCGCATACGTATGTACATACACGGTACATTTTCAAACCGCAAAAAAATTTAGTTTTATGAAAGCTTTTAACGTATCCGGTTTTTGATTACAATTGTATTATTTTGAAATTTCTGTCTAATAACATAAAGTGTTTTTGCAAAAACCATTTACGTAAAATAAGACACTTTCTTTTACGTCTATCTCGAAATTTTAAAAAAACCTAGTCACGTATAAAAAGCGTTATTCTTTTCGTCGCATCACTCTTTGCACATTACCATCGTGTCAGGACGGGAATTTGCAATTCGCCCTGGTATTCGAAGCTTATTTTCACGACGTGTCTCACGACGGCAAATTCGGAACGTTAACTTTTTCGTGTGTTTTCGCAGGTGGAAGGTGCTGCAAGTCGCGGTTGACGAGCGTTACAAGTTGCTAAGCGGATTCGGGAAGGATGGCAGCACTCCGGGTAGTCAGGCTTTCCTCGCGAGCAGCGTAGAACCACCATGGGAGAGAGCCCTCACACCCGCCAAAGTGCCTTACTATATCAAGTAATCGATCTTCCTTACATCTCACCTGGAGTTTCCGAAACCGCGCGGTGGTTATTTCGCAAGGCGATCGAGAGCTCGTTCTACTTTTTGTGTTTCCTGAAATAACAATTGAAATTTGTGTTCGAAAATATCCACACATTCATATTACATAGACGCGTATATTTACTTAGATTTTTTTATATATTGAAGAAAAATAGTGGCACATAATTCTCTCTCTCTCTCTCTCTTTCTCTTTCTATCTCTATGATGTGAGCGTACATTAGTGTGAGACATGGATTTGAATAAAACTGATATATTGCAGCCATCAACTGGAGACTACACATTGGGATCATCCGAAAATGATAGAGCTGATGTCTTCTCTCGCGGACCTAAACGAAGTTCGCTTCTCCGCATACCGAACCGCCATGAAACTGCGCACCGTTCAAAAGCGACTGTGCCGTGAGTATTTGTGCATCCCTGGTGATCAATCACTCCTTTATTACCGCCTGGTTAGCACCATGCGTTCATTAACTGTCATAATTTTCTCGATTAATCATCACGTCTGTCCGCGGTGGAATACTGTTATGACGCGCAGCGATATTGGATGTCGCTCCTCGTAACGCAACTAGCTGCGTACATTTTACAACAAACTACCGCGAGAATAGGTTTTGACCATTTTTATATTTTAACGAAAAAACACACAGTTTGTTGCGCGAAAAACTAATAGTAAAAAAAAAAAAAAATTTATGAAATACAAATAAATGTTCCGTGTTCAATATTCTCATTTCTTGTCACTGTAGTGGACATGTTGAGCCTTTCTACTGCGTTGGAACAGTTTGATTCACACGGGCTCCGGGCACAGAATGACAAACTGATTGACATCCCTGACATGGTAACAGTACTGACGTCGCTGTACGAAGTAATCGCAGCAGACAACCAGGCGCAGGTGTCCGTGCCGCTATGCATTGATCTGGCTATCAACTGGCTGCTCAATGTGTACGATAGGTATGTAAATATATATATATATATATATTTTGCATTTTATCATACTGCCGCGGTATTTTGTTTATTGCCCATTTACAATTCGCGCGGTTCACATCTTTATTTTCTCACAAAAAATTTATGCATTTTGTAAAATCTAACACACACTACCTTCAAAAATTTTTAAACATAGCCAATGGTTTTAAAAATACTTGATGTAATCTAATGCTTGATGTTGTTAAAAGCGTGAATAATATTTAAACACTCAAGCTTTATAATTTTCAGCCAACGAACCGGTCAGATTCGAGTTCTTTCTTTTAAAGTCGGTTTGGTTCTGCTGTGCAAAGGACATTTGGAAGAAAAATACAGATGTAAGTATATTTTAACAATACACTGCTCTGATGCGTAAAATAAATTCTCTCTCTCTCTCTCTATCTCTAAATTTAAAGTACATTTAATAATGTGTTTTACTTTTTTATTTACAGATCTGTTCCGTTTGATCGCGGATCCCAATAGGCTGGTGGATCAACGAAAACTGGGTCTTCTGTTGCACGACTGCATACAAGTGCCGAGACAATTGGGCGAAGTCGCGGCATTTGGAGGTTCGAACATCGAACCCAGCGTTCGCAGTTGCTTCGAAAAGGCAGGAAAGGATAAGAACGAAATAGAGGCCGTGCATTTTTTGAGCTGGCTGCAACAAGAGCCGCAAAGCATGGTCTGGCTGCCAGTGCTGCACAGATTATCCGCAGCTGAAACAGCCAAACATCAGGCTAAGTGCAACATTTGCAAAGACTATCCTATTATAGGATTCAGGTGAGATGTGACTTTAATATTTGGCGAAGAGAAAATAATAGCGGAAAGATCGAAAATAATCGAAATATACTGATATAAAAAATTGTGCTTGGATTGCAGATACCGTTGCTTGAAATGTTTCAATTTTGACATGTGTCAGAACTGCTTTTTCTCAGGACGCAAAGCAAAGAATCACAAGCTAACGCATCCGATGCAAGAATATTGCACGGCGGTAAGATGTTTGTCTTTATTCCCTTCAATGCTATCAACCACAAAGTTGCTGTGTACTTATAAAAAATATTTACTTTGTAGACAACATCTGGCGAAGACGTGCGTGACTTCACACGAGCGTTGCGCAACAAATTTAAGTCCAAACGATACTTCAAAAAACATCCCCGAGTCGGATATTTGCCTGTGCAAACTGTTTTGGAAGGAGACGCGCTCGAAAGCCCGGCGCCTTCGCCCCAACACAGCTCGCTCAGCCAAGACATGCACTCGCGCTTAGAAATGTACGCCTCTCGCCTTGCCGAAGTCGAGTTATCGCGCACAAGAAGTAACTCCACGCCCGACAGCGACGACGAGCATCAGCTAATAGCACATTACTGTCAGAGTCTGAACGGTGGCGACAACATCAACGTACCGAGAAGTCCGGTTCAGGTCATGGCCGCGATGGATGCTGAACAGAGAGAAGAACTCGAAGCGATGATACGAGAACTTGAAGAGGAGAACGCGACGCTACAAGCGGAATACGAGAGATTGCGCTCGAAGCAAACTCCAGGCTCGACGCCGGAAGACGGTCACGGTACTAGACAGCCCGACTGCGACATGATTGCAGAAGCCAAGCTTCTGAGACAGCACAAAGGAAGATTAGAAGCACGCATGCAGCTACTCGAGGACCACAATCGCCAATTGGAGGCGCAACTACAGAGACTTAGACAACTTCTGGACGAAGTACGCGAAACAATATGATATTTCGAATATTTGTTTGACTTTTTTTTTGTCATCAATATTAAGTATATTAAAGATAGGAACGATACAAAAATAAATCAACTTGATTGATCTCCTTTACAGCCAAATGCTTCTTCGCCGTCGAAGACCGGAACTTTACAAACCCGAAGTGTGACGGCATCACAACTCGCGACTGATTCTCCAGCAAAGATGAATGGCCATTATCATGATTCACCAGGTATCTTTGCATGAGCAAAACAGTTAAAGCAATTTAATTTTTTTCACACACAGCTCTTGGGAAATAAGCAATGTCTCTGGAATAACATGTCGAGATTTTTATTTGGAGGGATCGCTATTATTAATATTCTCGGTCAATCGGACTATACGTATACTACTATGTAATAACAATCGTACGTGTTCTCTTGTAACTCGTATGCAACGACAGGATGTAACGCCTTTTTATTAATGTGATACTAACTCTGTATTGATTTTGATACGGTAGGGATTCGATGATTTTAATCTGTAATTCATATATATATATATATATATATAATTCAACATATAATAAAAATTAAGAAAATTATTCAAAAAAATTCGAAAGCACAGTTAAAATCTCAATTAAATCTTTTGTGATTTATTATTGTTTATTTGTAGATTACAAGATGAATGTATACGCACACTATATATATATAGAAATCCCTACTGTATTTATTTATATATTTAATCATAGACGTTAGATATGCTTATTGCTATTGGGTCTATGGACATAGGTGGTGGAAACTCAAATGAGGGCAGAGTCAGCAGTTTAGAGAGGCCACCGCCGCCGCCACATTCTCACAGCGTTGCTCACAATGTGGGCAATCTGTTGCACATGGCAGGTTTGTTCAATTCATGTGAATTTTATTGTATTGTGTCAATTATATATATGTGTGTATAATCGGATCATTATAAATGCCCACCCTCTCTATGCACGTGTTTTGCTTGATATATAAGTGAAATAATTGTGCTTTCCTGTTTTCACGCAACAGAATGGATGTAAGGTGAGATTATAATGCTTCTTCCTAGATGCTTAAAATTCTCGTCGGTATCGTAACATCAGAGGAAACGATATTATTACTAACAAAATATATTATAATTTCATTGATTAAATGCGGATCTCTAGCCTCGATTGTGCGTTTGCATACCTTTGTATGTCCCCCCCGCTCTTTACGATTCACGCTTCTCTCTTTTTCTGTGTACATCTGACCGTATTGTGTGGCACGTTGATTGTGTGAAAAGTCTAAGTGTAATATTGTGAGGTCAACGAAATTCGGATTTTAGAAATGGGCGTGAAAAAGAAAACAAAAACAAAACAAGTCTTTTCTTTCTATTTCAGGTGACTTAGGGAAAGCTGTAGGCGAATTGGTGACAGTCATGACTGAGGATACATCGAAGTCGAATGGACAACGAGCGCCTCCACCGGCATTCAAATAACGATTGCATGTTCGTTCCAGCACCGACCAAGATCGATGCTATATCCACTCGACGACTATATCCACGTTTCGTAATTATTGACCAATAACAAGTCTGGCTCTAAACGCATATCAGAGATCATGGTATAATCTGCCGTGCAAATGCAGGGTCAGGGGACTCGTCTCTGTCATCGGTGGTTTTGGGTATTTTATAAGTTTTGATATATTCGTCGTTGTATAGCTGAATTATATCAATAAGACGATTTATGGTTTGGCTTCCGGCGGTCCCCTGAGAATATCTTTATTACATATTGACAGGTCATATCATAAAACTAATCGTAATGAGAAATCAATTGTTATGCTTGCTAGCTAAAATATACAAACAAATAAGAGATATAATGAATATAAAAACAAATACATGGAAGAAAAAAATATCATTAACAATGCATGCAAAAGCAATGTATCAAATCACATAATCTATATAGATTGTAGCTTATATTTACATACCCATTCTGTTCACTGCCACGGGCTCTTCCTCGACGTAACTATTACATGATGTACATGAGATTCTAGGAAACGACGACAGATAATGGAAAATAAACAGAATTCATATATTACCTGACCCTCCCCACCCGGCGCTCCCTTTGAACTTTACAACAATAATCCCACAAAAGAAAGAGGACCTTTTATAAAAACAGAGCGACGCGCATTACAATTTCCAAGTTTATTTTTTATCCAGTTACATGATTTTTTATATTTTCTAAATGACTTTAAACGGCGATGTCTATTATTTAGGTCTCTGCCGGATGTTATTATATATATATATCTAAGAGTATATATATATATATACATATATATATTAAAAAATATATGTATAAGTACCTAAAAATAATTAAAAAAAAAAAAAAAAAAAAACAACTGTAGGCTGTATTCTGATATGTAATAAAGTTGTCTAGGAAAATACTTCATCGCGATATTATTGAAATGTGTGAGGTCATCACGTGGAATTCTGTTATAAAGCTTTCTCAAGCGAATGATGAGTTTTTATATTTTGAATGAATTTAAAATATACGCGCGCATTTTTTTACACATATCACAGATGCCATATGTTAATAAATACTGTATCATTTTTTATGGAGGATGCTGCTTGTGAGAAGTGTAAAATACATATCTTCGAATAATATCATATTTTAATCAATTTGACAAAAAAAAAAAAATCATCGCGAACGAGTATCACCATGAACCGTTATTCGAAGCCGTTGTTAGGTAACACGAAGATTGATTTCACTTGTCAAAGAGTGTAAAACGATCGAATATGTTTTCGAGCTCCGTCTGTAGTTTGTTGAAAGATTGTTGGTTTTGCGATATTTCATACATTAATATACCGCATTAAAAAAGTCTAGAGAATTAGTCATATAAAAAGTTATATATATACTGCGTACAACATCAAACAGGTAACTACGTTACTTGTAATATATTGTAATATGACTGAAATGATATGGGACAAAATGCTTAAATAAAAATAACATGAAATAAATCCTTTTTTTTTTCAATTATTTTCCCTACATGTAAAACTGCGCTATTTTTTAAATAAAAAATCAATATTTATCTGTTTTTTTATTGGTGTGAACTTTTGTTAAAAATATTTATTTTTAACAAGTTTATTGTTTTAAATGTGGGGAGAGACTGAATGTGGGTCAATATAAAACCTGAATTCTCGATCAGAACATCTCCGTGATACAAGGACGTTGCCTGAACTGGTATTTATTCGATCCGGTTTTAATCATCCTTCAAAGGAAATCGTAAGTAAACCGGTCAGCAAAAAGTCAATGACAAAAACGTGGACTTGACTCAATTTCGAACATAATGTAATGTGTTTCTATACAGTATTCTTTCAGATAAATATCCATGCATATTTATTCTTGCATATATGTTTATGAAGAGGCACCCACGTATATTCTCTTTAGATGTTAAATATTTATCTCAGACTAATGAAGCTAATTTAAGTTGAACGTTAAAGCTCGTCTATATAGGCAAATTACTCGCTTAAGAAGTTGATCGTGTGGTTACGGCGAATATTTATCGCAACAAAAAAAAAACAATTTTAAGTAATTTATATATTTTTGTAAAAAATACGAGTTGAACGTGCCTTAAAATCGACATTCCATTAGCTCAAGTTTCATTAAACCGCGTATCAGCAGCTTAACACAAGAATTTGAGATAACTCCAACAATTTATGCTTACAATACAACTCTTATCTCGTTCTGTAGATATTTTCTTTAGTCAGGTTTTAGAAAAACATTTCAAAATTTTTATTAATCAAGTATACAAAACTAATCGTCAAATAAAAAAAAAGTAACTGTCAATTCATTTTTTTGCAAATTACAAGAATAACATCTAATTATTTTATTTTATTATTTCACACAAATCGTTGTGCTGACACCAGTTCGTATTTGCAACGTAAAGATGAATAGAAAAGTTTTCTTTTCAAGAAAATATACAGGCCTTTGCCCTCTTAACGTGCTTCTTTACGTGCAATCTATCGTGAATCAGGCGAACAGAAGAACGGTACGCATATAAGTAATTCTCACGAAACTACAAAAGAAATACTCTTTCTCTTTCTCTCTCGAACTCGGAACATTCTTACTACTTGCTTACTATTAAGATACGTGGCCGCGACCTTGGTGCATCGCATCACTGCGGTATGTATGTATTGTCTCACACAATGGCGTAATGCGCGAAAATTGCATTTCAACTCGCATTTTGCAAATGTTAAAGACACGAGATGTGTATCTTCGAACAATTGCGAGAGATACATACGATATTGTTGCATTATATTATTTGCTACTTTCCGTAATAATGCCATTGCAAATAATAGTTTTACATTTCTTACATTTTTTCTTTTTTTACATATTTATTTTTTTATTGTTAAAAGAAAAAGAGATAGTATAATAAGATTCCTGTAGATAATATAATCTCTCAATATATTCGTTATTAAATAAAAGTTTTGCTATCACATCGTACCAGCAAGTAAACTTTGTTAAACCTACTGAATTTTTTGTATCAACAACAAAATATTTTGGCGACAAGACAAAAAATTCAGTAGACTTAGCAAATTGTTTTTGCTGACCATATAGTAATTAATCTTCTTGTTATTTTTAAAATATTAAAATATATTAAAGTTATTGTGTAACTTTGTAAATAAAAAGCTATATCATCATTTTCTCTTTTAATATTTCGATAGCAATTTTGATGTCGCGAATTACTTTTTGTTCTATCTAGACTAGAAACGCGTAAACAAATATAGTTTGCTAATTAATCTTACAAATACTTGTTACCAAGAATGTAATTTAATCTCCGATTCGATAGTGAAAACAAAGTTTTGTGAAGCCATGTCTCGAGACACGTATCCACTGAAGTTTCAAACAGACGATTGAGTCATCGATACGTGACATGTGTATCGATGTGCGTAAACAGAAATTTGGTGCATGCTAATTACGAAGGACGATCATAATCAAATACGATGCACGTATGTTTATTCAGTATCAAACCACATGTCCTAGTATAATAGGTAAAACAGTTACGCTCACTCAATCAATTTTTTAAATATAAAACACGAGATAAAACGTAGCATTGCGTGTTTCTTTAATGTTAAAAGTAATTTGTAAGAATAATATTGTTTTAATATTGTGTATATTTGTATACTTGTACTTTTTTTTTATCTTAAATATCGCGTACAGTAAAAGATTGCATGTTTTGAGAAAAATATAGGAATCGAGAAAAAGATGCAAAAATATATCAAAAAAAGCGCGCAGATTTCTTTGTCAGGTCGTGCACATGTACATACAAGAGGAAGTTGTTATTAAGTAAATTCCTAACATTCCTCTCGGTAACGCACTGCTTTTCTCACGGAGCACTGAACGTTCTTTAAAGCTAGTAGAAATCCAAATAGACCAGAACGCGCTCGTAAAATGTGCAGAACGTCAGTGCTAACAGCGAACTTGTACTTTTGAAAAAAATATTATATACACATGTATATACATACATTATATATTTATATTTATTAACCGGCCCGGTAGTCTCGCGGCCTGAGTGCGATGGCTGCGAGTTTGGAAGGTCCCGAGTTCTCGAATCCACATCGTCGGATTTTTCCGGGCCGGTCTCTTCTCAAATCGAGTTTATCGATCAAAAGGCGAACTGAATCGGGCCTCCGAATCAGCTTGAATGGATCGTGGATATAGAAGTGGAATGTTGAAAAATATTGTAACCCTGAGGGGAATCAATTAAATTTCCTTACTTATATTTATTAAAAGCAAGTTTTTTATAAATTTATTATAAATTGATGATTATCCTACCATATTATAGGCTTCTTGAATTAAAATAATAATAATGTGTGTAATTTTACACATGTGACAACGTAAATAACAATTTCTAATTTTGTGACTTACAACAATTAAAAAATCCGTAGATTTACGGATTTTTTGAGAGCGTTCTACGAAATTCTACGGAATTGTTAGCTCCTCTCTATAGATATTGAAAAATCAAAGGTGGCAACACTGAATGTATTCATCGTGAAACAGCTGTCATTGGACGTCACTTGCTTTACATAACCTTTTTTTGAATCGTAAATAACAACACTTTATAATTTATTGAATATGTCAAAACTTGTGCCGAACAAAGTGTTTTTGCGGGGAATTTTACTTCATTACTTTAATATGAACAAAAGTGCTGCTAAAGCTCATCGTATTTTAGTGGAAGTGTATGGTAAACATGCTCTAGCTGAGCAAACGTGTCGGAAGTGGTTTGCACGTTTTAAAGCTGGTAATTTCAATTTGGATGACAAGGAGCGACCTGGCCAGCCGAAAAAATTTGAAGATAATGATTTGGAGGCATTGCTCAATGAAGACTCATGTCAAACACTTCATGAATTGTCTACATCATTGGGAGTTGACTTATCAACGGTAGGAAAACGTCTTAAAAGTTTGGGCATGATCCAGAAGGAAGGACATTGGGTTCCACATGAATTGAAACCAAAGGACATTGAGAGGTGTAAAAAACAAAAAAAAGTAATTATAAATAAATAAACACACATCGAATTTTTATATTTCCGAATTTTACAAAGATTCAAAATTAATATTGCTTTTTGTACTTTTTCATTCATATGATTATAAATTACAAAATCGTCATTTTTTATTATTCAAAAGTTGCTCTTGACCTTTTTCATTATTCCATAGCATGATACCAGTTTCGTTTCCAGAACAAGTTCCGTCGTGAAGCAGCCGTTACAACAATGAGGACCAGTCGAATGAAGGTATGAGAAACCTACATAGCCATCCCATCGAAGGTTCCCTGACCCAACAGATATTTTTTGCTCTATGTAGGAAGCCTGCGCGAGGCCTCGGAGAAGGTCGTTCGGTCTTCGACGACCGAAGCTGAAGAAAGCGCAAGAAGAAATTGTAGCAAAAACGACACCTTAAACCGTTTTTATCACAGCCAAATCTTTTAACTCTGCAAATATTTATAATAATATATGTGTATTTGTTTATTAAGAACTCAATCAACTATTATTAAAATTTAAACAGTTGTTTTGCGTTTTGTGTCTTCTATTTTTTTCCTGAAATACATAACTGTATAATTCAAAAATAATGTTCTAAACCTTCGAAAAATTATTTCAATAATACATAATTCCAAAACATAAGAAAGATATGTAGATATATAAACGAAGATTGTAGAAATAAATTTACATTTTGTTTACAATAAAAAAAACCACGCATGTATTTATCGATAATATGTAATTACGCTCATTAGAAACATTAAATTTTACATTAATGATTAAAGTACATGTTCTCATAAATATATATATATATATGTGCTAACATTATTGACAATTATTAATTAAATATTTCACTTTTAAACTATATTTTGTCTTCAAAATTAAAACTACTTCCATATTGTTTTACCTCTTCTTCTCTAAATAAAATAATATGAATAAAATAATTTTTCAAAAATCTTTAAAATCTGGAAAATGTCTACGAATTTGTTAAAAAGTTACCAGGAAAATATAATTAACAAAAAAATAGCACAAAAACAAATTGAAAGAATTAATAAGTTTGGTAAGTAAACACATATGTCCAGATTGCAACAGAAGGAAAAACGCAGGAAAGACGAGTGAAAACTGTGTGTTTATAAGAAATCGATTTATTATTTTATCTTACAAATTAATGAGTATACAAATGATAAGAATGTTTTTACCTTGTTGCGTCTAAGCATCCAATGTGACGTCATCTGCGGAGCGATCTGGAGAACGGAGGTCACGTGTTCAGAGCGCGCCGCCGGATGAAGGCTCGATACTTGATGCGGGCGGCCAATGGGCGCGTCACAGGAACTTCGGCGAAGCGTGTGTCTCGTCGCTTCGTCGCCGGTTCCCTCCAGTCGAAGCGCGACCGCCGGTGTGTGAACATTGTTCTCGTTTAGTTAATCGACCTCGCACGAACCCTAAACTCTCTGTAAACTTTTGTTCTTTTTGTTTCGTCCTGAAGTACAATGGCCTGCCATAGAGCTGCCAAATCTGGATTCGCCGCTGAAGCGCAGAGAAAGGTAAGGATAACTCGAGGGAGGATTCGTCAACTTCTGTCGTCAAACACGGTCGCTGGCATTTCTGCCACCCTGACCTAGTCAATCATCCCTCCCACTCCATCCGAATGCCTGGGGTACGTGAACGCGACCTACTGAGGGTGCACTCTTGCGCAGGCGTCTTCTGAATCTGGGAATGTGCGTTCCATTGTGATGTTGGCATTGTCCGACCGGGGTGGCGAGGTCAATCAGGATAAGTGTGGCACTAGAACGCGCAGCTGCTCCAATTTTTTGGGACAATCGCTTTAAAATCGTTCATTAAGAGTGATATCTGTCTTTAGCAGATGGATGCAAATTTTGGCAATTGATTCTGATTGCCATAATTAATTAAAATATTAACACCCATCATTTAAACATTTTACACGTACTCATTCCAGTGATTATTTTGATTGACCTACATATGAAGTGAAAGTTCGGAGTGATTTAAAAACAGCAGGGTGATGTGGAGCTTCGTATCTGGAATATTGTTGAAAAATGATGTCCACGTTGATTGATCGCTAATAAATCACTTTATGCTAACATTTATATTATCAATATCGTAGCATTGTGCTTTATTTTTCGTCACGACACGTTTCCGCTTCGTGCTGCTCTCGTGATATCGGTTTTTCTGCATCAAGAATATATAGTTATAAAAAAGAATTAGTAAGTTGGTATATTCCAATACAAATGTACGAAACGTGACGACAAATAATGATGTTGGTCTTCGCGTTACTCACACCTTTGCATTCGTCACGTAGCTTCGTGTTTACCTTATTCAGTCATAAGCCGATAACTATAGATACCATCTTTAATAACTTGCACGTGAATAACAACTTTAAAAATCAGACGTATAAATTTCAGATTTTTATACATACATACGTATCTTCATCTGTTATGCATGCAATTTTAATCTTTTTTTTTTCATACATCGATTTTGAATTTTTACAACAAAAAAATTTCACAAAAAACTTATTACGCAGAGACAAAAAGCGAACGTTCACAAGTCAGCAAAAATTTCACAGTACAATGTCCAGCTTGAAGAGAACTTTGCATTGCATTAAATTGTCAACACAAGCGTATCGTTTATCTCATAGCCGTAAACTGATGTACTTTACATTTACACACGTGGTTTCACAATTTAAAAAACGCAAGTCGCTCAATACATTCGAATTGTGTATTCGGTGTGTAAATATCGCGATAAGCAATCGCACGTGCAATGTAGTGAACAAAATGATTACACCTGAATTTCACAGAAGATTTTCACAATTATAAGTCGATTATTTTGTGTGTACATTAAAAAAAAAAAAAAATCCTAAATATTTAAAAGTTATTATAAAACGTTTCTTCTCATCTCTCGGACATTCTGAGATATATATTCGATGATGTATACATTTCGTTCCGTAAGCGGCAACAGCTGCTAAGCGGTTGTTTCTTTCGAGGGGAATTAAAATGAATCCAGTTGCCGAAGAAGGGAGAGCCCCTTTGCGAAACCCGCTGGCCATGGTACACTTCTTCGGTTGTTGCATCCCTCTGCACCCTTCCCCTCTGGCACCTTTCCGTCTTGCGCGATGCTCAAAACTTGCACCTTGTTGCGTTATCTTGCAACAAGAACTAAATTTTCTCGTTTTGCGCGCGTATCACACTGTTGATTTATCTATCTCTATACGACACAAATATAAAGTTGTTTGAAAAGAAAATAGATTAATAAACTTTTAATAATTTGTTGAGACTACGTATAAGAAAGAATCGACTTTTGTGCACGAGAGAGAAGCGTTATCAGTAATTTTTTTCACGTGGATTAGCACTTAAACATTCCTGCGCGGAGTACTTCAAGTGCACTTAAAAGCACGTAAGCATCATCTTATGTAAGGAATAAGAACTGTAGCGGCACTTAATAATCATTGCTTGGTTGTTAGATAACCAAAAGTTAACCACATGCATAACTATGGTGAGCCATTTTTATCAGTTGTTTGACTTCCTCTATATTGTAATTTCCTTGATGAAAATCTTCTGTTACATTTATTGTGATAATTATGCTGCAGTTTTTAACTGTTTATTAAAATCATATATAGAAAACGTATACATATGTAGAAAATTTGCGGCGTAAGAATAAATAAAATCGCGTGTTTTATCATAGTAAAAAAAGGTTTGATTTTTTAAATATAAATTATATAACCGTGTACATTTCTCACGTAAATGATATTTTTGTTTACAGATAAAACCCTAATTAGCAATTTGTTTTCTCTTCTACTTTATAAAACAATCATGACTATTATTATTAGTTAAATCAGAAAATAATTATGATTATTATTAGTTAGGAACATTATTATGATATTATCTTATTATTATTTAAGAATTAAAAAAAAATATGCATAGATTTTATCAAAGATTTAAAAAAGAAGTATTTTATATATTACAATAAAGAGGTATTTGTCGCGTGATTTCTGGAGAAGCTCACACTCACATATTACGAACGAAAGATACGCTTATCGTCTGCGGAATGCAGTTTGCCCGAGCCAGCTCGTTATACTTCACCGGTACGAAATCATTTGTCTCAGAACGCGTCATGAGCTTTAAGATTAAAACTGTGACGTTGCATAATTTTAAATTACTAGCACAACAGTTTCAGCATTTTATTTTCATAACAAAAAAGAAAGAAAGAAATTTTTTTAGTCTCAAAATTTGAATCTTGTTATGCGTTTACGCGATCAATTTCTTTATATAATCATTTTTTAATCGCATTTAATATTCCAAAAAAAGAAAAATTATCAACAATTTCAGTAAAATGTAAGAATATCAAACAACATCTGCACATTATCACGAATGCGTAGAGAAGTTAGAGATTAGTTCTGAAGGATTTTGATTTAAAGCGCCGGAAACAAAGTTGGAAGTAAATGGAGTTTGGACTATTATATTTACTAATGTTTTACATATTTGACTAAAATTTCTTATAAAACAATGACAAATTATTCGGTTAGGCCACTTTTCTGTCTGGCGAGACAAACTTATAAATTGGCAGCTGAACGGAATTTAAAACAAAACAATGAAAAATTTGGAAACAAAACTTTGGTCGGAAGATAAAGTTTTGATTAAAAAAACTATTTAATTTTAAAACATTATAAAAATAATATTTATCAAAAAACATGATTATTGCTATATCAACTTCCTAACTTAAACTGCCGCACCTCTCATAATCGCTAGAGTTCAATGTGCTTGTCTGTTTGTATAAGCTAATGATGGTACTCGTAGGCTACGTATGATAATTCAGTGACTGATATCAGACATAATATTTGTAGTTCTTAAGTTATGATCTCGAGTAAATTTACTTTTTCCAGAAAAACATCAAATTGATTTCCACTTACTGATATCAAGGACTATTATCGCAAGCATGCTGCAAATCTTTGTCAGCATTCTCTGAATATCAAGTTTAGTATTACGAATATACATAGAGAAAAAGAGAGAGAGAGAGAAAGAAAGAGTTGAATAGAGCAAGAAGTACTTTTTGCATTTTTTAGATATATTATACGTTAATTTTTTTCTTATTGTGACTTATTTGTCTTCCGTATACATATTTTGCGATTTTCTCTTTACCATTATTTTATTGTGCAATATTCTTCTCCGAAATATGATTTCACACACAGTGACTTACCAATGGTAGGATCCCTTCTACCATACGATGAATGTGTGTATTATACTCGTACTCTAAAAATAGAGATGCTTCATCCCCCGAAGAGGATATCTGTATTAACGGCCGGAAGTAGAATAAAGTGATTTCCGTTCTAGGAGCGAATAATGGAGAATGCGGAATTTTACGCGCCTTATTATTTTTACGTGTCTTCAGACGAATGTGTGTAAATTGTTTTACTTCGAGAGAACTAGAATTCTATTCTAAAATTATAAATGTGCGTCTGAAATTGTAAAAATGTAAATATTAAAGTAGAGAAAAAGCAAAGTTAAGTCACGGCAATTTTTGCGGTGAAGTTACTTTTGACATATATTTGTCGGAGATTTAATCGTCTGTACTTTAAAAATACAAGAGTGTGTGGTAATATATGATCTCTTGTTAAGCCGACGTGAATGAAAGCCACGTAACGTTGATCCAGTCAAGCAAATAACGGTATAAATTCACGGAACGCCCTGTAATCGCGCTTGGCATATCATTTACGTCAGATATTATAGTTGATAGGAGCATTATCGAGTTCGACGTGATACTTATGTTGAAAACATGTTACACGTGTTAAAATAGATAAAGCAATCATTTATTTTTATTTATTTTTTTACCTTCTTTCTCTCTCTCTCTCTCTCTCTCTCTCTCTCTCTCTATCCTCTCTACTGTTGCTGTATAATTACTACATACTTCATAATTGCAGATTTGCTATTTTATGTCTTAAATCTCGCTAAGTATTTACGCACAAATCTTGTAATTATTCTAATAGTCTTCTCTAACAGAATATTTGCTTATCCTGTGCTTATAAAACGATTGCAGGAAGCACTTAATTGAACCAGCCAACGTGTCGGTTTGAAACTGCACAAAAACTTAAAGTAAGATATCGCGAATTTCTTCTCACTACAGAAAACTTTCTCCACATTGTGACTCATTCCAGCATAGCTTCTTCCTTATGTCATGTCCCCAGTAGATGACACAAGGCTTATAGACGGCTGTAATTATCGATATTTCGCACATGTGTGTTTTATTGCTTAAGCTTTAAGCTTCATTCACATTCTCTGCTCAAATTGATTATTCAGCCACGCCTAGGTTTAACAATTTTTTTACTTGTTCGTGTGCAGTTTTACTTTGCAGTGATCTTTAAGTATCAAGGGACAAGTGTTTACTATATCAGTTAAAACTTGAAAAAATAATTTGCCACAAAGAAAAGTAAAATTTATGAATATTTTCAACTTATATATATTTTCGAAAAATGTTCAAAACGAGATAGTTACAATTTACTGTACTTAAAAGAACTGCTTTACGATTTAAAACATAA